TTTGTCTTTGTCATTCAATACTAAACCATATATGTATTTACAAAACGTATTGATAACTTGAACTACGGGAGGTTTTCATATCAAAAATATAAAATAAAACTAGAAGAAGTTTCCGGCGCTGCCCGTGCACGTTAGTCTTTAGGATGAAAGGATGAATGAATGGTATGTATAATGTATATGGATGAATGAATGGTATGTATAATGTATATGGATGAATAAAGAGTATGTTTAGTACCTCCTGTCTATACTATTTAGAGCAAGGTAAGGGGTGGAAAGACTTGATACTTACATTACAAGGGGCAAAAACTAGTCTTGGAAATAAAAAACAAAGGGGGGGGGGGTTCAATTTTTAATAATCCAAAAATCACTTTTAAATACTCTAAAAAAATCAAACTTTACAAAGCAAGCTCAACTTAAAAAAAATATTTTCTAAGCGCTCCTGACACCCAACCCTTTTCGTCCCTACGACGCAAGTCAAGTTTTTGCTGCATTTAACTCATGAGCCCCACCCTCAATACTGAAACTATATCTCAAAAATATATACATGTTACCCCCCCCCCCCTCTCCACCCTCAATACTGAAACTATATCTCAAGCATAAATACATGTTACCCCCCCCCTCTCCCCACCTTCTGTCAGACATACATGTTAACTCCCCTCCTCTCTCCCAACCATCTGTACAATTGCCCTCATAGTCTAAAATTTTTCATAGAATTTATTAAAAAAGTAAATAAATTGATATAGAAAACTTTTATTTTATATAATGGGGAAATGAATGTATATTTTGATAGTGTCTCGTGCTACTTTATTCATGAAGAAGAAAAACTTGTCTTAATGCCATCTCATATTCATATTTTTATTCAACAACAAAGCACGAGATAATACAAATAAAAAATCACAATTTACTATGTAGTTCTAACAACTAAAGAGGAATGAGGAAAGAAGAGTTAAATAAGAATTTAGCAGGGTATAGAAAGAATTGGCAAAAAGAGGGATAAATTAGGAAAGAAAACAATATTTTGAGCAAAATGAATTTAAAGAGGAATTGAGAGAAAAGAGAACAGAAATATACGACTAGATCTGAAATATTTAGGAGAGAAAGAGGTGAATTGGAGGGGGAAGGAGAACAGACATTATACGATAATAAATAAAAAGCAAAGTATAATGAGATTATTTACAAGCGGGGGGGGGGCGGTTGAAGAGCAAGAAGGGTTAGGATAGGGTGGTGGATACTTAAACCCGCCCAATGACAAAGTATTTGACCCTAAAGTCAACATAGGTTAATATCACATCATTGGTGTAACATTCACCGTAAATTTTAACCTCTAATTTTCTCTAGGGGTTGTAAGTGTTCATGAGGTTTACCAGAGCATGATACAGCTGGACCAAAAATATCTTCATAATTAATAGAAAAATGCATTTATTAGATTATTTTATCATATTAATAAATCTGATTATTACGATTTGTTAGAATATCTCATTTTACTGACCTTTTCAATCTAAATAGAAGCTCCTATTATGCTATGTATATATTGTTTGCTAGTTATTGCTATTACATGCTATATATGATATGTTATTTCATGCTATGTATATACTGTTTCAATCAATCAAATATTATTTATTTACGCAGAAACATTGATAAATCATTATTACAAGTGGTAGTTTAATTGTCAACTGATTAATGTTCTGCGTCTGGAGAACTGCTATAGCTGTAGCTGTTTTCATATCAGCTCCCCAGTTGCTCGATAATAAAAAAAAGAAAAACTATAGATACGGTATTGACGGTGTGGTGGTGGATGGTTTAGGTAGGGCAGGAGGATTGGATAGAGGAGAACAGGGGCCTCTTAGCTTCAACTATGATTTATAAATATTAATTAATGAGGACAATCTGGACTCCAATGATTGGATAACCTTACAAATTTCAATTTATCAATTCTGAATATATGATTAACTGGAAATCTATATAAATGAGTAAAGATGATGAGATCGTTAATAACTAGATAAAACCCTCACCTTTTACAATCTGTACACCAAAATTTACTCAACAAATTCCAGAAGATATCAGGGCAGAAAAGGAATAATTGATTCGCAATTTTTTAACCCTTAAGATATATTTCATGCTATGTATATATTGTTTGCTAGTTATTGCTATTACATGGTATATATGATATGTTATTTAATGCTATGTATATATTGTTTGCTAGTTATTGCTAATACATGCTATATATGATATGTTATTTAATGCTATGCATATATTGTTTGCTAGTTATTGCTATTACATGCTATGTATGATATGTTATTTAATGCTATGTATATATTGTTTGCTAGTTATTGCTATTACATGCTATATATGTTTGCCAAGAATTTAGTTCATGCTATGTATATATTGTTTGCTAGTTATTGCTATTACATCCTATATCTGATATGTTATTTCATGGTATGTATATATTGTTTGCTAGTTATTGCTATTACATGCTATATATGATTTGTTATTTCATACTATGCATATATTATTTGCTAGTCATTGCTATTACATCCTATATATGATATGTTATTTCATGCTATATATATATTGTTTGCTAGTTATTGCTATTACATGCTATATATGATATGTTATTTCATGCTATGTATATATTGTTTACTAGTTATTGTTATTGCATGCAATATATGATATGTTATTTCATGCTATGTATATATATTTTGCTAAGAAGATATTACATGCTATGTATATTTGCTAAGAAGATATTACTTGCTATGTATATTTGCTAAGAAGTTATTATATGCTATGTATATTTGCTAAGAAGATATTACATGCTATGTATATTTGCTAAGAAGTTATTACATGCTATGTATATTTGCTAAGAAGTTATTA